TTTTTTCTCTTGAAAAAAAATCTTGAAGCTTTTTTACAAAAAAAGATTAAAGAGCGTAATTATAAAAACAAAAACAATGAAAGTACTTACTTGGCGAGTTGAAATCCATATCTGAATTGCATTTTTTTTTCAAGTACAAACAATGCGAGACGCGTTGTAGTGAGCAAAAACCGCTTGTAACGAGTAATTTCTGCTTAATTTAGAACTTGGTAGTCGCTGTAATGCAAACGCGCGCGCAGAAGTGCGTTTTTCCTCGACACTGAGTGAGAAAAGGAAAACAACGTCTTCGTACGTTCGCCGCAAAATCCGACGCTTTTGTGTGTGTGTACGTAGCCGTTGTCTCTCGGATTCTCAAAACTAAATTGCATTTGCCGGAACTTCCGACGAGCGTCTTGCACCGAGATACTGCAAGTATTCCTTCTTCAAACATACTCGAGTCGCGGTACATCCTGGAAACATTTCATTCGCCATTATTTCCCTTTCCGCTTCCTGCTTTTCCATTTACGAGAGAGCAAAAGCGAAACTTGTGTTCCGCACAATTCTTCTTCTTCTAAATTTCTGTTTTTCCAATTTTGTGTGGAAGAAAAAAAATCACGTTGTATTTACGCGCGAGTACGTGTATTCTTTCAAGACATTCATTGTTTCTAACATTCTGTTGTTTTATATAACATTTATTTATTATTCAATTCTTAAATTAATTACGTTTACATTTTTGCTGAGAATAAAACTTATAAAAAAAAGTAGAGAAGAAATAATCTCGAGTTTACTTCACCAAGGTGACAGTTTTTCGTTCTTTTATTTAATATCAACGATATCGATTATCTTATCTTTCTCCGTTGTTTCTCGTATAGGATAATTTTGACTAATATCTTGTTCTTTGTGCGCTTACAGCAAAAGAAGTAAAAATATGCGGCAGTACAAGAAGCGGTGGCGAGGTTTGCTGCTCGGCGGACATGGAATCTAGACTGCATTCGCGAACACGTGACAAGCACGACAAAGCCACCAAAGAAACTCTCCAGAGACTTCACCTGAATCTGGCCAAAAGCGTGGACAAGGTTCACAGTGAGTGGTCTTATCTCTTTTTGATTTTTTGTCGATAAGGCAAAGCGAATGGGACGCGTGGCGTGCGCCGTTTCAATGTCCGATGGGAATAACGTGATTAGTTGGTTCTTGCCTCGATCGAAATATTGAATAAATGAATAAAGAGAAGGAAACTCTTGCCAATTAATCGCTTTGATTTTGTAGAAATTGATTTTATAAGAAAATTAAAGACCTAAAATTATGTAAAATAGAATCAGTCGAATATTTAATCGTTGCTCATATTTTTTGTAGAGATTTTATATATGAGTATTATTTTATTAAAATAACTATTATATATATATATATTCGAATATATATATATATATATTCGTGTGTACATAATGTGTAATAGTTATATATATATGGGCAAATCTACCGTAGTTTTAACTTTTATGAAAATTTATTTATTGTTTTTTAAATGTGCGGCACGTACATCTTATATTGACTAACATATCTGAAATAAGTTCAAAAACACCAATCTACACGCGTTAATAGTTTTAAGTAAACGGCGATAAAGTTTATCTGATTGAATTCGACTTAATTTCTTTCCAGTTTTACATTGCAATCATGTTTACGCACTCTTAAGAGGATGCTGAACCGTTCTGTTATACCGACGGGATATGTCATTTTAGTAGATCGGACTAATCTCATTATTTACTGTATCAAATGAAAAACGCTTTTCCAGAAGTAAAAAACGTAAAGAAACACTTATCGGTCTGGTGCTTTTTGGTCTAAAAAGTACGAAAAGTTACATTGTTCTATTATCACTTGATCATATTTTGCTATTTTTAACCAATTTCTAAGCATTGTATAAATATACAGGCACCAGAGCGATAAGCGGATGATATAAAAGAATATAATGGAACAATCAGAATGTGATTTTATTGTCTAGTTTACGAGAATAGTTAGTTCTTCTAATGAAGCACATACGATAGTAGGCAGGATACGCACACAAGCAGACAGTCGCGTACGTGTGCATATCCCCACCACTATCAGACGGGCAAACCAAACGAAAGATAAGAAAAGAGACATACGTCTATCCCATAGACGTATAATATATAGACTGCGCGTTCCCTACCTTTGCCATGTTAAGAAAATGTCTTCAACGTTGAGAGAGACAGCTGGTGTTGAACAGTAGCCTCATCTTTGTCTAGCAAAGTAGTGGGGGAAAAAGAAGTCTTCGTTGATTGATAGAATAGCAGCAGAAAAGTGGGGATAGAAAAATAATGGGAGTGAAGAAGAGTGAAAGAGATTAAGGGGTGATGGTAGGAGATTAAGGGGTGATGGTAGGTTATAGGTGGTATGAAACAGTAGGCCCTGATCCCACCACAGACATTGATAGACAGAGAAAAGAGTTACTATTCAAAGTATGTTGTCTCTCTCAACGTTGAAGACGTCTTTTCAGCCAAACGCGCAGTCTATATATTATACGTCTATGGTCTATCCTTGTATAGAGGGCGCCACCTACTGGACAGCGTAGCAGCAAAGCAGCTGTTAAGCCGCTGGTTCAGCATCCTCTTAAGAGTGAAACACAAATTCGAAAGAGATAAAATAAATTGTATGATTTTCTATATTTTTAGTGCACTTTTAAAAGCCAGTAACAACACGAACACTCTGCATTCTTATACATAGTTATTACCATAGACGTATAGAATATATAGACCGCGCGTTTGGCTGAAAAGATGTCTTCATGATTGACAGAGACAACATACTTTGAACAGTAACTCTCTCTCTCTCTGTCTATCAATGTCTGTGGTGGGATCAGGACCTACTGTTTCATACCACCTCTAACCTGCCATCACTTCTTAATCTCTTTCATTCCTCTTCACCCTCACTATTTTTCTATCCCCACTTTTCCATTACTATTCTATCAATCAGCGAAGACTTCTTTTTCCCCCACTATTTCGCTAGACAAAGATGAGGCTACTGTTCAACACCAGCTGTCTCTCTCAACGTTACAGACATTTTCTTTCTAACATGGCAAAGGTAGAGAATGCGCAGCCTATACATTCTACGTCTATGTTTATTACTAGAAAGTATACGAAGAAAAAATACGTCTTGTGCATACGAAAAACAACTCAGACTTATCAGTATTAAAAAGTCTATCAAAAGTTAAAACTACAGTGGATTTACCCATATATATATTAGGTCTACCGGAAAGTTCTGTCCGTTTTTGAAATAAAACAAAATACAAATTTTTCTTAATTTTTCAAAAATGGGATATACAAATTGCCCTCACGCTGGCAAGAAATCATTAATAATAATGGCAATTATATTATTTAATAAAGTATATTGACGGTAAGAAAAATTTGTATATTTTGTTTTATTCCAAAAACGGACAGAACTTTCCGGTAGACCTAATACATATATATACATATATGTATATAGAAAACGTTTAAATTTTGTCTAGTAACAAGTATCAAATATTATCTCTGATAGAAATCTTTGTTTTTTTTTGAGATGTAAAGCAGATGAAAAAATTCAATTTTATGTTTAATATTTGCGATTAAGTCCTCGTCGTGTCTCCGACATAAACTTTATCGTAAACCGGCTTTCCCATCTCTTGTCAGTATTTTATTCGCTTTACATCGGCGAAACTTTTTAATCGCCTTATTCAAATCCTTTTGATCCACTTATTCGAAAGTAACGCGTCGCGCTCGTACATTTAGCATTCGGAAAAGTCAATATTTTACAGTAAAAGATTCGAGTTTTCTCGCACCGGAGGTGGTGAGATTAAAATACAGAAAGCGACTTTTTGTCTTACTAGTTCAACGAAATCTTTATTTAGAAAGAAACCGTTCTTAATTTTTTTATATGAACAATAAACAATTATGGAAATGTAGGATTAAAATTAAAAAAAAGCAATTCAAAAGCAAAAATCTTTGTCACGAGAGAAAGAGAGAAAGTCAATATTATTATTAAACGGGATATTGGGGCAGATGTGAGCCAAAATACAAGATGTGCGTGTGTGCGACTTGTTGAGTATAAAAATACTACAGATATGTCGATCCCTTCGTTTGGATCTTTTTCAATGTGCACACAAAAACTAATTAGAAATAAAGTGTTTGTACACACTGAAGAAGATAGAATGAAGGGATCGAAACGTTTGAAGTTTTCTATTCAATAAATCGCACACACGTACATCTTGTGTTATGTAACTCGCATCTGCCCCAACACTCTGTTTCATCTTCTCACAAGCTTATTTAGTTATTAATATTATTATCATTATACAGGATGTGTGTTCGGAAAATCGCCTGCAATACTTCGGGAAATGATTGGAAATCCAAAAAGAAGAAAACAAAGCTATATAAACGTAGATCCGGAAATAAGTTGTTTCCGAGCCACTTTTATGTTTAAAAATCGTAATTCGATTTCATTTCGTTCTTCGATTTTTTTTTCGATTTTTTTAATAATCATAATCATATTATTCATAATTTATTTTATTGTATTTTAACATAAATAACTGTTGGGTTTTAACATAAATAACTTCATTTCGGACTATTTTAATAGACGAATAAGGACCTGCATTCGTACTGAAGGTGGTCATTTTGAACATTGTATTTAATTCGATTTAAATACCTGTTTATGTTTATCCTTAATTTTAAAGATAATATGATTATGATGAAGATTATTATGTATTTACAAATATCATAAAATTGAAGAAAACTTAAGAAATAAAATGTAAGAATTGAAAAATTAAAAACTTAAAAAATCAAAAATGAGGGATGCGCTAAAGCGAACATAAAAGTGGCCATAATTCAAAACCGACTTATTTTCGGACCTATGTTTATATAACTTTTTTTCGTTCTTTTTGGATCCCCAATCACTTTCCGAAGTATTGCGGGCGATTTTCCGGACATTCTATATACAAATGTATTATTACATATTATTATTATATATATATCATTATTTATAAAACATTTTATTCAGAAGAATAAGATACTGGCGAGAAAAAATTGTTTAAATCGCGATTTTATTTCTTGTATTTAGAAAAAAAAAAGCAACATTTCCACGCACAAAAAGTCTCACCATTGCGAGCGATCGGAGCAGTTTAATCGGCCGGACGTCACTCGGTCGGAGGCTCACCCTCGCAAAATACCTATCCACCCTTCGGGCATTCCGCGCGAACTTTTTAACCGACATGCTCGAAACACAATGCTCGATCGAACGCTCACCCTCGTCGTCCGTCTTACGCGTCCCGGAGTGTGCTTGTTGGCCGTAGAGAACTGAAGAAGAGAGAGGGATGAAACGAGATTTCAAGGATAACGGCGGTACGGCTTGACGCGGAAGTAGATGTTGACGACCACTCGCGCTGGAGCAGCGCACTCTTCTCTAGGCCGAGTATAGAGCGGGTTCGCAAGATTTTTTTTCTAATTAAAGAGGAACCGCAGGCTGTGCATCGAGATGAGGACATTCTTCACACAAAGGGTTCGCATGGTCGAAGCGTACTCTTAATGCAGATACTATTTTGCGCGCTCGAGACAAACGAAAGAATAACCGATATGTATATAAAAAACGAGCGACGCGAAGATGAATAACATCGTTCGAATGATAGATGAGAAAGAAAACTCTTGTTGATCACGTAAAAGAATAATTTATATAATATTATAAAGCTCGTGAAAATTAAACTAAGTATATAAGGCCAATACGAACCGTTCACAGGATGTTGAGCGGAAACTGTACGTGTATATATATATATGTACACCGAAAAAATTATATTCTCGTAAGTAGAAGATTTTATACTTAACCCTCGGAGAACACACTGGGTCAATTTGACCCTGTTCGTCGACTTTGATCAAACTATTTTGCTTCAATTTTGCTTTTTTGTAACATATTTTTTACAATGTTAATAATGTTAACGACACTTAAAAACTATATAGGCATATTTCAAACTGTTCAAAATATATCCGAAAATTTTTTCAAGCCAATCGGATAAGTGCATTTTAAATGGTAGCATCTCAAAAAGTGGACAGGGTCAAATT